CCCCCCCCCGAAACGAAGTGAATCCCTTGTTCTCCCTAAATTGAATGAATTCTAAAAATTCTTTCACAGGAAAGTACTGCACCGTGATGTAAAGCCCCAGAACCTCCTGATTAGTGAAATAGGTGAACTTAAACTCGCAGACTTTGGTTTAGCGAGGGCAAAATCAGTGCCTTCACACACGTATTCCCACGAGGTCGTGACCCTGTGGTACAGGCCACCGGATGTCCTCCTCGGCTCAACCGAGTACTCAACGTCACTGGATATGTGGGGCGTTGGTTGTATATTCGTTGAGATGCTTACTGGTGTACCAACGTTTCCTGGTGTAAGGTGTACCTACGATCAATTGGATAAGATATTTAGAATTTTGGGAACACCTACGGAGGAGACGTGGCCAGGTGTCACGAGATTACCGGGGTATAAGCCACATCGGTTGGCATTTTATCCGCTTAGGAAATTAGGACTGTCGTTTCCCAGGCTGTATGATGTGGCCGAGGGTGATAACATGGCGTCTTCACTGCTACAGCTCAATCCTGATGATCGAATAGATGCGGAGGAGGCGTTGAAGCATCCGTACTTTGCATCACTTCCTAATAAACTCTATGAGCTGCCTGACGGTGAGAACAAAACAAATACATAATTTTCTTTTCTTTTTTTTTCATTAGACAGATCAGTAGCGAAGCGGTAATGCGGTTTAAGTGGGTTTAATCTAAGGAAGCTGAGTTTTTGAGGAATATCTCAGAATCTAAGGGAGATGACGAATTTTTTGTTGTAAACTTTTTTGTAGAGTAAATTGAAGGCTGCAAAAAAGGTCGTAACAAAAATTTTGCTATCTCCCTTAGATTTAGAGGTATTTATTGAAAACTGGCCAATAGTCAAAGTCGACTGAAGGATATCAAAGTATTTCTTACAGTTTGGTGAAGACTATATATTCAATCATTTTCAATTTTCAAATTTGTCATTTTGCACGGAATTATGATTTTTTTAAACATTCGTTTATAAATGAATAATTGAAATTGTTCAAAATTTCGGAAACCTTATTTTTTTAAGCATCAATTGGAAAATTGATTGTTTATGAATTATTTATAGAAAATACTCGTAATTGTCGAAAATTGTAATATTTCAATTATTTCATCAATCTTTCTCCAAAAGTAAACTTTCGGATTTTTTTTTCAGATTTTTGAAATGTTTTTTAACGGTTCAATGTCGACTTCAAATTAAATAATAAAATCATTGTAAAATGGAAGCTCTGATGTTCGACTACAAAAGTAGAAAAGCATTTCACTGGAGCAAAATAGCTAAAGTACATGCATATCCTTAAACCATTTTACCGCTTCGCTACTGAATTCAAGTTTATTTTCTTGGGAATCGTTATAATATCTTGGGAACTAATACACTGAAAGAGAGAAATATGTCCTTAAACCTTATTTTAGCTAAAAAATCGCACGTTAAAAATTACCAAGACTAAAAATTTCCGGGTTGAACACTTTAAAAATGTCCTGAAAACAGAAATTGTTATCCAAAAAAAAGCCAAGAATGGAGAAATATTTTGGAAATTCACGCGCAGATTTGCATTCTGCAAATATCTGTGCGATTCAACAGTGAAAAAAGACAAAATAATTAGTGCATAACTCGAAAAATTCATGCATTATAAAATTGTCTCCAAACATATCTCTCGACATTTCTCCCAAATCTTGACCTTCCCAAAAATTCTTCACTATCCACCCTCATTTATCATCTTAAAATCATAAAAAACGAATTTCCATATAATGTAAATTTATTCGCCAGTTCTTGAAAAAAAATTATGAAACTCACCCAATGAATAATCACCAGTTATCTCTCATTAAACTCTTAAACTTCCCCCTGAAATTGAATCACTCCTATGAATATGTAATCTCTGTTACACGAGTTCCACGCGAAGCAGAAAAAAAAATATGAATATGCTGAAGAGGGTAGTCCGTCGGCTCTGAAAAGGGTTTGCATGTGCAAGCCGTTGAAGTTTTCAATTGTGTAATACGCTTGATAGCCCATTTTGCTCCAGTAGTTCCCCGAGAGATGGAGGAGAAACGTTTTTATAGAAAAGTCTTTTACTTTTTTCAATATCTCGAGAAGTAGCGAAGCAAAATGGGTTGTCAAATGCCTCGCGGGATCGGAAATTCGAGGCCTTCGATGCAGTATTCAATGTTTCTCTTCCGTTTCTCATTCTCAATGTATTCTGAAGAACATAAAATACGTTTTAGTATCGTCGGGATCAATAAACTTTGAAAAATGCAAATAGTGAGGTAAAAAAAAACAGCAAGACAGTGGAATCCGATCGATGTATTAGCGCTAATTGATGCTCTCACTGCTAATGAAGGTTCTACCCCCGATTCTTGATTGAATTGATGCAAACCTATTACGGTATCACCTCTGAATATTACCGCTCTGTGATATTATAGTTCATAATATCGTCAAAAATATTACGTGTACTATTTAATTTTACACGTTTATCCATTTTTCACTGAAATTTTGAGGAATTTTATCTTCGAAAATTCAAAATTTTGTTGAAAAATCTATGGAAACTGTGACCTTCAGTTCAAATATTTCCCAGAAATTACGAGAAACCGGAAATATTCTGGTGAATATATTCTTGAATTCTCAATTAATTGAAAATTCATCGTAATTCGGCACTGAATATTCAGGATTTTAATGAAAATTCAAATCGGTTGAAGAATTCTCATCCAATGCTATTCAAAAATTTGGAATTTCATTGAATTTTCAGTGAAATCTAAAATTCCCCGATTTTTCCCCCTTAAATCGCATTCAATGTTCCTCTCCTGACAATTCCAATTTTTTCTGAAAGCGCACTGTTAAAAATTTTTGAGTGCAATTTACGGTAGATTTCTCGGAAATATTCATCACATTATTTTATTTCATTAATTTCATCCACTGAAATTTCAAGGAATTGTGTCATTGAAAATTCAAGATTTTATGGAAACATCGGTGGAAACTGAATTTTCGTTCAATTATTACAAGAAAATTGATAAAAATCATAAAAATTCAGTTGAATACATTCTTGAATGTTCAATTAATACCGAATTTAGTGTAATTGGTTACTAAATATTCAACTTTCGATAGAAAATTTAATTGAATTATGGATTTCTTGTGTTTCGCTGTTCAAAAATTGGGAATTTCATTGAATGTTTTGACATCAAAATATTCCTTATGATAATATCTGTCAAATCAAGTCACAATATTCCCCTACAACTAGGGCCAGCCTGTTGTTCTAACAGTCTAGAGCAACACACTGAACCCACATTATCATATTATTAGGTGTGATCGATTCCTGTTCAAATTTCAATGAAAAATTACTTCATCATCATGAGTAATCGTTCAGTAAGTGACATCAGAATGCATCTTACAAAACAATAACTTGGAAATGTGTTCAATATTTTTCAGTTGAAAAGTGTGATTGTCAAACGCTAAGACTGGAATTGATGTTACAACTTTCGTTTCGTTTTGTTTGGTTTCTGTCTCAGTTACACTCTCCTTCGTGTTCTTTCATTTTTGTATTGATTTTTAGAGAGACTTTTATATGTGGGTGAGCACAAACACGTGACCAGTGAAACGGGCTCCAAAGCGTCACAATAAACTTTTTTGAATCAACTTTTTGTGATATAATGAGCTGCGCCGTTTTATGACAGTTGTATTTCGGGGTAATATGTTGTTTTCTGACATTTAGAGGTGTAATCCATTATTGAAATATTAAAAAGCAATTGAAATTTCACGGACAGTTCAGTAATAGCCTTCAGATAAGTGACATTGAATTCTGAATTAATTTAAAATAAACGAATATGTTCACCGGAATTTTTCTGATTTTCAGAGAATAATTGAAATGAAATGAACACTTTTCATTGATTTTCTTATAATTTGATGAGAAAATCAATAAAGTATATGATTTTCCAATGTACTACTGGGAAAGAAAAGGAATTTCATGTAGTTTAATTGTAATTTATAGGGAATTGACATTCGATTTACTTTAGATAGCAAAAAATCGAAAATTTTCAAATTTCACTGAAAAATTCAATGGAATTGCAAATTTTTTAACAGCAGGGAAACGAGAATTTCCTAACTTACTTGAATTTTAAGTAAAAATATGATTATGCAGTACCAAATTACACTGAATTTTCAATGAATACATTCCCCTGAATTGGACTTCACAGTTTCAATTGATTTTGTCAATGGAAAAATTCCTTGAAATTTCAATGCCACTGTCACTTGGTTAAAACATCAAAAAGTCTATCGGAAATTTCAGCCACAAATTTTTAACAATTCAATTCACGGGGCGAACACTTATTTTAAGTTTTGGATTGAATGGGTGAACTTATTCCAAGTGAATTCAAATAAGTGAGTTCAAATTAGCTGAGTTTTTGACGAATATCTTAGAATGTAAGGGAGATAACAAAATTTTTTTCATGACCTTATTTGTAGAGCGAATTGAGGGCTAAAAAAATGTCATGACAAAAATTTTGCCATTTCTCTTACATTTCGAGATATTCATTGAATACTGGAAGTTTCCCGTTTTCATTGACTTTCTTAACAATTACGTGAGAATGTATGGCACATATGATTTTCCAACGACGCGATTCCCTGACATTTTTACTGAAAATGTCACTCGTTAAAAATAACGCCATGTGATGAAATTCAGACATAAAATTGTCAGCCACGTACGACTAATTCTCCCTCTCTATTTATCATTTCCAGAGGTATCGATATTTACCGTCGAAGGGATTTACCTATTCACCGAGTCTCGACAAACGTATGCTGACTCACGTCATACAGCACTCAAGACCTGAGGTCGAGCATAAAAATAAGGGAAACGTAAAACAAAAGTTTCAAACGATTAAATAATCACGTACAGACTCGATGAAAATGATCGGATTTTCACATTGTAAATGAGTAACCGTCTGGTTCTCACGATGATGTACGAATATCATTGACATATTTTTCATTTATCTCTCCTATCCGGCTAATTAAAGGTACAGAAGAGTAATTAAATCGTCCGATCTCCTCATATTTTGTATTCAAAATGAAAACAACAATCTTCGCATAGAGAAGACTAAAAGGAAAATGTGTTACTTGTAATAATTAGGAGAAGTCATTAAATTTGTAGAGTCATTTTGTAGTGAGATGCGGACAAGTAAAATCAGGTTGATTATCACTGATAGTGAAATAAAAAATTGAGAAATGCATTCGGAAGCTACGCACGCTGGATTTAGAGCAAAAAAAATGCAAATGCACGCACGACCCATCCTCGCACTTCGTCCAAATACTAGATATTAGACTGAATACCAATCAAAAGAGATTCGATAATGGGTGAAGAAAGTTATGTCTACCGCCTAGTGGAAATTATCCCCTCTCTCTACTCCTTTTCCGAGCCACTTTGCAGGCGGTGAGTTCGACATAGCGAACAAACATTAAGTAATTCAATTTATCATTATTAGGTGAAATCATGGAAGATCTGTAGCGCTAGATCAATCACTCTGCACTGCTATGTAGTATTGATACTCGATTCAGGCGCCTACGTCTGTTCATCAATTACAATTAATTTGACCAAATTTAGGTGAAATCGGGTGGCGGGAATTTCTGGTTGGATTGGATTTAGTTGATTGGGAGGGGGCGAAACAATGATTCAGCTTTGTTTGTTGATTTGTTTTTGATTCATTTTTGAGAATCGAAGAAAGTTGAACATTTTGTAGATTTTTGTATTGTTTATTTCGGCTTCCTGCATAAAAAAAGTCTATTATTACTAATACTATTCGGCAGGGAAATGGTGAGAATCTATTCTGTTATTTTTTCTGCAGAAAACGGTCTTCATGAACATTGAACGATCTCAGCAGATTCAGAAATTTCATTTCAAGATTATTTTTTTAGGCGCATGAGTTAAGCATGTTTATTAATTGCATTTTTTTCGATCAAATTCAGGTGAAATTGATTAACGAAGTGGTGAGAATCAGTTCGGTTCTTTCTCATCAGTTTCTGATTAATGTTGGGAAATATACGAAAGTTAGCGAACCTTTTGTAGATTTTTCTTTTGTTTATCTGGGCTTTTTGCACAGAAAGGTCCTCATAAACATTGACCAATCTCTGCAGATTCAAAAATTTCACTTCAATTTCAGTGTTTTTCAGACGCATGAGTTAAGACTGTTTGTTAATTGCAATTTATTCGATCAAAGTCAAATGAAATTGACTAGAAAATTTTTTCGATTGGATTTACTCGGTAGGGAAATGGTGAATCTATTCTGTTTTTTTTTCTGCAGAAAAAGATTCTCATGAACATTGAACAATCTCTGCAGATTCAGAAATTTCACTTAAAGATTATTTTTTTAGGCGCATGAGTTAAGCATGTTTATTAATTGCATTTTTTTCGATGAAATTCAGGTGAAATTGATTAACGAAGTGGCGAGAATCAGTTCGGTTCTTTCTCATCAGTTTCTGATTAATGTTGGGAAATATACGAAAGTTAGCGAACCTTTTGTAGATTTTTCTTTTGTTCATCTGGGCTTTTTGCACAGAAAGGTCCTCATAAACATTGACCAATCTCTGCAGATTCAGAAATTTTACTTCAAGATCAGTTTTTTAAGTTAAGCATGTTTATTAATGGCTATTTATTCGAGCAAATTCAAGTGAAAGTGACTAGAAGAATTTTTTGATTGCATTTATTCGGTAGGGAAATGGTGAGAAGCAATTCTATTATTTCCTATCAGTTTTTGGTGAAGGTTTGGGAATCCAAGAAAGTTAGGAAAGTTAGGAGTTTTTTATTTATCTAGGTTCTCCCTACAAAGAAAGTCCTCATGAAAATTGACTAGTCTCTACAGATTCAAAGATAAGTCGAACAAAGAATGTAAAAGTGGATCAATAAGTGAATTTCACCCCAATATTAGTTTTTGGGGAATAGTCGGAAATCTGAAAGAGAAATAAATTTTTTCTAGAACAAAATTAGGTTCCCAAATAAGTCCTTTTGAGAACTTGTTCCAACTCTGTTAGTTTCAAAACTGAGACCGAAGAAGAATAATAAAACAACGGCGTTTCACTTCAAAATAAATTGACGGGATACATCTTGTCTTTCTAGAAATGAAAAGTGAAAAGATGACGGAATTCTAGTGAAACAAACACCACAGAAATCGGTGAATGAATTTCTCGTTAAAATCAGTTTTCTTCATTTCATATCTCATTTCGTTAAAAAAGGCTCTATAAAATGTTTCGTCAGGCCCGTAATTTCTTCGAAATCCTCCAAAGAAATGATTTATTCCGCTATACCCATTTCCTTCTCAATAAATTAATTTCCGATTAATCAGAGATTTTTGCCACAACTTGTTGCGTAAAAATGACAAATTTCAGAGGCAAACTCGTACGTCCAATTGGCCACTCGCCTCCGCTCGCAATTTATCGTCGATTTAAGTCGAATGAAAGAAACAAAATAAAAAACATCTTATTCGAATTAAATAAATTAGCTCGTAATCGTAACGTGATGATAGCAAATAAACATAGGATGATAAGTAAACTCTGAGAACAAGTGTCTCAAGGCATTGACAAATCGACGAGCGGAGGGTGCGAGTAACGGCGAGCGACTCATCAATCAACAAATCAATTAATTTCATTAGTCCCAACTACCGGTAGTAGTGTAATTTTTACAGAAATCAATGAGAAAAAAAATTGAATGAAAAAAAAACCACGTATGTTCGTTACTACTTTTGATAGGCCAACGAATGGTGCTTGATGAATATACGACTAATGAAGTAAAGTTAAATTGTACATTAATTGGGGATAACTGATAATCTCGTAATAGTTGCCTAGCTGGTGGCATAAATCATACGCAATCATGATTATTTCACTAGGAAATAGTGTTTTTTAAAAATATGTAGAGAATATCAATGAGTCGAGAGTGTTACAGGTCTTCCAAATGAAAAAGTAAAAAATCAATTACGAGTCATGATAATTATGTCCAAGCAATGATGACTATTACGACTAATAATGTTATTCCCTGGTAGATTTATATTTATACCGATTTTTCAGCGCACTCATAGTTTTTGCCAGCCCCTCCTACCCTTATTAGATTAATATTTTCACCTTGCCTTCCTCAGCCTTCCTCACTCACATTTACTTTTTTAATTGTTAGCGTGCTAGCCTTTGAAGTTGATGCATTCATTCGAGGAATATATTTTTTCTTGAGTCGTTTGGGGCCTATTTGCCGTAAAGTTCAAGTGTAGGTTGAGTGATATTGCTGGTGGATGATGAGGAATTATTGAAATATCAAAGGATCTGGAGGGCAGGGGAAAGAACGATAAATTCAATCATGTGGAATGTTTTTTTTTATTCTTATTTATGAAGAAAATTGGTTGAGAGTGTTGATGGATTCTTTGAGTCAATTGAATGTGCAATTGGTGAGATAATTTTGTGAATTCTTGTGTAACTGAAGAGCTGAGGAGGTAGGATGTAAATAGAAAAAACACCATCGATTTATATAGTTGATGACGCTGAGATAGAGACAGGAGTAATAAATGTGACTTTGTAATAAATTGATGAGAATAACAAATCAGGGGTTTACAGTGATGTGTTTTGGAAAAAAAGCTGAAGTAATATGAAAGTGATTGGAATAATCAATTTCCCACCAGTCTCATTTATTTTAGACTACCACGATAACGATTCATTGAGGAATTACGAGAGAGATATGCTCATTTATTATACATTATTATTTGTTAATTGTATTTGTAATATAACTGTGGTAGAGACTGTCATTTGTATGAATTAGTCCTCAATTATTGTCTTTATTTGTTCATCTATAAATTTTTTTTATACAACAATTTCAGTGTGATTATTGCTGTAATTTTTAGCGATTCATTTTTGTTCATGAGGTGAATTACCAGGCAGCCCAGCGAACATTGTAATACGAGAGATTAAAGTGAAAAGAGAAAAGTACTGTTTTTAAGTATGAGAAACGTTTATTATTATTTTCATTTCACGGGTGATCTCACGCGATTGTAAGTTACATACGCATGAGGTATAAAGTGGATAAATAAGGTGAGTGTCGTTACACTGTTGAAAAAAATTGAATGTTCATGGACAGTTGGCTTGGAATTTTCAGGAACGTGACATTGAATTCGATTCAAGGGGAAAAATCGTGGATTTTCGGATTACATAAAAAACTTGAATTTTATTTGAAATTCTAAAATATGAATATTCAGTATCTAGTATAAATTTTATGCTGAATTTTTATTTTAGTTGGAATTCGAGAATTTATTCACCTGAATTTTCCGGATTTCTATGAACTTTTGAGGGATAATTAAACTTTAATTTAGTTTCTATTGATTTGTCCATGGAAGTTCGAATTTCCAACCAAAGCCCGTTAAATTTTAGTGGAACTTTAGTGAATTTTTCAAATGATAATTATCAATGAATAGCACAAGATTGTGATGAACGAACAGGAGTTTAATGGTTTTCAGGATTTAATCGAAAAAAAGTATTTAATAACAATATTAAATAAACCCCCCTCTTATTTATCACGTAATTTGTTCTATTTATTGGTAACTATTATGTGAAAACGAAAAGAATTATGAGAAATATTGCCTAAATATTTTATAATTCGTTTTTCAGCTGCACTTTATTTTTCTTTTATCAATTTTTATTTGAATGCATTTTGCAATCGCCTAATGTGCATTTTGAAACAAAAATCCCGCTCATTTTTCATCTCTATAGATGAAACAATTTTTTTTACATTTATGACCGTCACAAATTACAAACTATTTGTGACTATTGTTTGGAGCCAGAAACTTTGTGCGTTACTTGACCGTCACAAAACCGTCATCTTGGTCATATGACGCTTCAAAAATGACGGTCATTTTACATCTCTACTATCGCTGGAAATGGAAATGCGTGAGATTATGACCGGTACATGATGAGGAACTTATGACGGCTGTCTCAATTCTCCTCTCCCTCTGTGACCGTCGCAATTTTCCAAGTAAATATGACCGTCATCTTTCCTTCATAAATTTTTATTTCAATTAATTTTGTATTAACCTAATTTCCTTTTTAAACGAAATGGCTTTTTTTTCATCTCTATCGATGAAATAATTTATTTTATTTATGACCGTCATTTTGCATCTACATAGATGTTTTGACAACAATTTGATTGTAAATTATTCGTGATCATTATTTTTAGCTAAAAAATTAGTGCTTTATATAACCGTCATTTTTAGGTCGCGTCATATGACCAGAAATGACCGTCATTTTACATTTTATACCTGGCTGGCGCGTGAAGCGTTGCCAATTTCAGCGCTGTAATTTTTATTTTTACCCTTGCCTCCGCCTGACGTCTGAAGTCAGTCCAACTTGCGTGCCTGCCGGAGGGGGGGGCATTCGTACTTCCGCAATTGTAGGCACATCCACGGTTGTCCACAGATTTGTGAAAAATGTGAGGGAACAACTGTACACAACCATATCTGTGCACGGTCTTTGCAGTCGGTCAAAAGGTGTCGGTAGAGTAGAAATTGCATTCGTTTTATTTGCAGTCGATATTAATTATGGATCAGATGTGGTTGTGTACAGTTGTCCCCTCACATTTTTCACCAATCTGTGGACAGCCGTGGATGTGTACAGATGCGGAAGTACGAATGGGCCCCCCCTGCTTGCTCTGTGGATCGCTCTTGCTTGTCAACAAACGTCGTTCGTGTCCAACAATTTATGAAAACAATTGAATTATCATGGACTCCTACATAATGCAGGTAATTAAAATTGACAGCAATAATTCGTCATTGTTTGCGTTCTGTCTTCAACATGAATGATGAACAATTCATCTGTTTTTTATAGTTAAGAAGAGTCTGGTTGAATCAGGATGGACTGGCATTAGCAGTGAGTACTTCAAAAACTTGTCAGCAAAAAATAACAGGAGAAATTTGCAATTTTTAATGTTCAAGCAGTCGAAAACTGCAGATTTTTATTCAATGATTCTCAAGTCACTTTTAGGGTTCTTACTTGTTCCTTAGTTACTCACCTGGTGTTTGAATTAGTTATTCAATTGTGTTGTCCTTAAGAAAATAAACATAATAATGAAAGGAAGGGGATTGTTGAAGTTTTGAAAAATAATATTCGTTCAATAATTTTCGTTTTCATCAATGCTGAAGCACTGAAAAAATTGTTAAATTAAAAAAGTCTGGGATCTGTTCCAAAATGAGACAGAACTCAATTTGATCGTTTGGTCGGACCATATTGGAAATTTCAAAAGCAAAATCGCTTGATTTTCTCTAATTATGCAATTAATTCTTACAATAATTGAATTTGTTATTTCAATATCATTTATTTTCAACAGGACTTGTTGTCTCTACGTCACAATCACGCAAACATCCCCCAACTGAGCACTGAATCTGCAATGACGAAAGCAATGGAGCATTTATCAGCTCCCTTCGATGATCTTGTTCTTCTTCATTTGAAGTAAATAACTCTCTCATATTCTTTACGCAACAATCGAATAAGTGGCATAAGAAAAATTGAAATCTATTGATTTTTTGTATAGAATATTTTTCTTCGAATATTTCTATTAAAAAACGTATCGAAGAAAATTCTATTGAAGAATTCTGCTGCTTCACTGCGCTCTTCCATCTTCCTATGCAGCATTTTCTATTGAGACTTTTCGTATAGAAATTGTTCAACATTAATTTTTTAACAATGTTTTTTCCACTATTTGTCTTCTCTTTTCATTCAAAAAAATGAACGAAAAAATTGGAAAATTTAGGGAAGGAATTTCTATTGAAAATACCTCAATAACTAGTATAGAAAAATCCAATTTTGTCGATATTTTCTATAGATCTCCATTGAATATTTCTATTGAAAAAAAACATGTGAGATGCGGAATTTTTCAATAGAATCGTCAGAACACTAACAGAAAGTTCAATAGAAATCCCATCGAATTTCCTAACGAAATTGTTTCCGAAATGGAAAACAAATAACAGTTTGTGAAATTGTTTTCCTATGAAATTTTGTCGTACGTAACTCGCTTTTATACTTATGTGTCCTACCAATTAAAAATGATCTCTCGATTATCATTTTCTCGATGAAATTACAGAACTCTCGCCTCTGCCAGTAAAGAAGATGCGCGTGCAGCATACCATAATCAGAGTGCAGTGGTCCAGAGCGTAACAAAAATCCTCCAGTTGCAGAAGGAAGAGAACTGGATGCTCCCTGTGATGAACGTAGTCTGTCTTGAGCTGCGATTATTAGCAGTTCAGGCTGAAAATTTGAAGAGTAAAAATACAAAGCCTGGGGAAGTCCTCGAGAAGTGTGCAGAGTGCCTAATGGGATGTTTCAGGGTGTGTGCAGCTGACAACAGGAGCTCAGAGGAAGACACAAAACGATGGGGCATGCTGTCCCTCGTCAATCAACTCTTGAAAGTCTATTTTAGGATCAATAAACTGCACCTGTGTAAACCCCTCATCAGGGCTATTGACTCCTCGGTTTATAAGGATCATTTCCCATTGGCTCAGAGGATTACGTATAAATTCTTCGTTGGGAGGAAAGCTATGTTCGATAGTGATTATAAATCAGGTAAATGCACAGAGAATTCATTATTTTTTTTGAGAATTAATGCATTGAGGATTTCCGAACATGTCTTTCAGTTTCGTGTGTACTAGAGTATAGATTTAGAAGTTTTCAAACAGAAAATTTTCTAATAGAATGAAAAGTAAAGAGTTTAAATAAATTAATGGATAATAATTATTCAAATCATTCCCTTGTTATGGACAAATTATGAATATTTTTCGAACCTTTGGTAACCTAATTTTTTTGGAGATTAATTACTGGTGAAATTCTGAATGTGGCCAAGTTCATCATTTCGAAAACAGAATTTTTAGGGAGGATAATTGATTATTTTCCATTATTTCATAGATCTTTCTCAAAATAAAGGATGAAATTAAAGCTTTCAGTTTCAATTGAAAAATAATCGCAAAAACTTCAACTTCAAATTTTTGGAAGAATGACAACGAAAAACAAGAGCAAAACATTCTTTCTTCCTTTTAATTCAAAGAGAAATTCCTCTATATTTCCAAGCATCATGTTATTATTATAATACAATGACATATAAAGACATATTTTAGAAGTTAATTCTGCAATAAAATATTAATCCATGGAAAAATAATTCTCTACGCTCAATTTTCTACATTTCCAGCTGATGAATATCTCACCTATGCTTTCGAACACTGTCACAAAGCCTCTTCAAAAAACAAGCGTCTGATCCTGACGTACTTAGTCCCTGTAAAAATGCTCCTGGGGTACATGCCAAAGCAATCCCTCCTCGAGAAGTACAGCCTGATGGAGTTTTGGGAATTGGTCGAGGCAGTCAAACGAGGAGATCTCCGAAAATTAGAGACAGTGATGACGAAACACGAGAGTTTTTTCATCGGAGCAGGAATCTATCTCATCGTGGAGAAATTGAAACTCCTGGCTTATCGAAATTTATTCAAGAAAGTGTGGCTGGCGATGAGCACCCACCAAATTCCGGTGCAAAATTTGCTGACTGCCCTTCAGATGTATGGAGTCGAAGACATTGACATGGACGAGACTGAGTGTCTAGTTGCAAATTTAATTTACGAGGGAAAGATCAAAGGATACATCTCCCATCAGCACAAGAAATTAGTTATTTCCAAGCAAAATCCTTTTCCAAATCTTTCTTCGATAATATGAGAGTCTTCTATGTCCGTTTTTGAATGAGGCAATCAATACAGCAATTATTTATACTTTTTAAAAAATACTATCTGCGTTTCCTGGCGCAAAACACGAATGAATAAACAAATATAATTTTTTATTTGTCGATTTATTTGTCGATATCACTTTTCTATGCCAATAATATCATAATCGCCGGCCAACGAAAGTGTTCATTTCCATGATGTTAATAATTATTAAGAAAGGTCAAGAGATGTTGAAGAAATAATTACAACGTTAATTGAACTGGACAAAACGGTATCTCTAGTTGCAAATTTAATTTGAAAGGACAACACCAACGAATACATTTCTCAAATCGTTCTTGAATGATATAAGATTCCTGTATGTTGATATTTGAGCGAAACACTCCATAATTCAATTACTTATGAACAGAAATCAAAGACCAACCCTTCATTTGCATAATTTTTTATTTATCGATTATATCACTTTTCTATGCCAATAATATCATAATACGTGATAAAAATATCATCGCAATAATCAAATTCATACAAGTGTTACATATTCATATTAAAAAAACGAAGATGACGAGTAAAAAAAGTTCGAAAATAAAACACTGGAAAAAAATATTGCAGATCTAATGTAGAACGATAAATATTAATATTTGGTCGCAATTGCCTGACCCGTTGTACAGTCGTTAAAACACATTGTGGAAAGTTGTTAAAAAAATTCTACAGTATCATACAAGGTACATTTGATGTTCTATCAATTGATTCCCATTCTCGACTCTCTTTTGGCACAATGAGCCCATGCATGATGGATACTAACTAAAAATAAAACGACAATACCCCAATAATGAATGCAAATCGCTCGACAGATAAAATTGTCTCAATAATTACTTACATGACATGAATTTAAGCAAAAACAATTGACTCGATCGTACATAGTGCCCATAACTCTACTAAACTAATTTCATTATCTAAAAATTGTATAAATATTTACATATAAATATTACAAACCAATAGTTGGTTCGTGACACCACTCACTCAATGGAGAAATAAAAAAACCTTGAAAGTTGCCAGTTGATTTTATCATTAGAGAGCGAAGTTTAAAAAAATTTCACTTAAGCCTATAATTTTCATTTTTAATATTATTGGCAATTAGTCACTAATTAGATCATGGAACGAACGCTATATGTATGTCTTCGTCTTACACTTTCCTTAAACGAATGAGAGCAATGATAAATTGACTAGTCTCACCGTGAAAACCAGCCTTGGAACGTAAATTCATTCGGTAAAATGAAATAATTAGGCCTTGGCAAACACGTAAGTTCATTGAATGTCTAATTTGTTTGCTAATGGCACATGTTAGAAACTGGAATGTTGAATAAAATCATTAATAATGGAAGAGAAAATTAATCTGTCAAACGTCTACGACATCGTTGTCGTAATTGAAATTCGAATCGCGGAGAAATGATGTTCTTCGGAGTTTAAAATTAATTCGTCCTTCCTCATCCTTTTTCAATGGCTGCTGTACCTGAAATAAATTTTCTCTTTTAACGACTCGTCGAATAAAACAAGGGAATCTATCGGAATTCGTTAGTGCAGAACGTCAAAATGAAAATAAAAAAAAGAAGATTAATACCTTATTGGGGTCAACGGGACGATGAAGCAACGACCTCCAGGGTACTTGCGTTTGCTCTAAAATAACGTAATTGGAGCGAGAAATAAAAGAGAGTGAAGCAAAAGTAAATTGAAAAAAAAATGGAAGAGAACAAAATTTAATTGAATATGGGAAGCAGAGTTGAGTGATCTAGTTACCATTCTCCTTCCGATCGGTCTTCCCTTTATTTAGACTCGCTGCGAGTTCTCTGACTGATCGTTTTTCAACACTACTGCTGCTCAGTGAACTAACTGTACTGCTTGATGATAGAGTTGGAGGTAATGAGGCTGGTCCACTCACACCACTATCGATTGATTCGTCTAAAGCATCACCCGAATCTGGAGTATTTCCCGCTGAGGTATTTGGACTCGACCCATCACTCAATAGATTGTTGAACTCACCTGCACAAGATATGCATCATGCATTGCCTGGTTTTTTCATCAATAGTGCGTGAAGTGAAATTTTACTATAATTTTTTTTTTTAATTATTTTATTTTGCGCAGAATCTTGCTTTCCACTCATTTTGATCGAAAATAGGGTTTGGCATTCGTGGGAAAAGTGTTCTTTGTCCCTTGGGAGGGTGGCACTCGCCTTCGATGAGCGCTATACATCTCCCATGGGACAAAAAATATTTTTTCATCGCTAGTGCGTAAAGTGAAATTGAAAAAATTCAATTTTTCATTCATTGTGATCAAAAAAAGGGTTTGGCAGCCGTGGAAAAAGTGTTCTTTGTCCCTTGGGAGGGTGGCACTCGCTTTCGATGAGCGCTGCACAGCTCCCATGGGTCAAAAAACACTTTTATGAACTTGTATCAAAATATACTATTGACATTATTTGTGATTTCGCATGGAAACATTGGAACGTTCAATATCGAGATTTTGTTATGCTGCGAGGAAATGAAATATAAAAATTTGAGAATCTTAGGGAATGTCTGTGCTTCGAGAGGGTACATAGAAATGAAAATTTGTTGAAAGTTATTTCTGAATTTTAGGAATCAATACGTCATGCATAGCAGGGTTTTTTCCCCGATATTTTTTATTTCGAATGGAAGGAATGGAATGTTGAACATCGAGATTTTTTCATTTTGCAAGAAAATGACGGAACGTTTTATTAAATATAAAAATTTGAGAATCTTAAGCCATGTTTGTGATCAGAGAGGGTACACAGAGAGTAAAATCAATGAATAGTTATCACCCAATTTTGAGAATCAACATGTCAAACATTGCAAGGTTTTTTCCTAATACTTTTGGATTGGAATGAAACGATTGGGATGTTTAATGTTGAGATTTTTGCATTTTGCGAGGAAATGACTGAAAGTTTTATGAAATAAAAAAATTTGAGAACATTAGGCAATGTTGTGATCCGGGAGGGCACATAGTGAGTAAAATCCACGAAAACTTATCTCTGAGCTTTATCTTTGAATCAACACATCATGCACTTCACAGTCTCCCAATATTATCGTTTAGTGTTCAAAAAAAATCAGTAACAAAGTTCTGCGAAACCCCAAGTTTTTCTCTGCATAACTGCCAAACCCCCATCAAATCTCAAATTTTCAAACAGAAAAAGAATGAATTCTAGTCCCCACCAACTCACCAGATTTCCTGTCGTTACTCATGCTCCAGGGTCTCGGTTTGGGCGCGATAGCCGGTGGTGCCGGTTTGCCCCCCCTGATCCCCCCAGAATTCGCCTTCTGCTCGCAATTCCCAGTCAACGCTTTGACCCCGCCCTTTCCAAAACTCGCCTGTCCCTTCTGCACATCACCGGACGGACAAGTGTCGTCTTTCCCAGAGGTCGGAGACGACGAGGGTGACACCACCGCGTTGGTGATGGGCAGTGCTCCCCTCTTCCTCTGCTCCCCCTCAGGGTTCTCCGTACTCCTTCGCACCAGCGGTGAGGCAGTGAGTGGCGTATCCCCCTGGGACCTGCGCCCCGTCAAGGGCGAGAACTTCTCCAGATTATCACTGGAGCGCGATCTGGGCGCGGGTTCAAGGAGAGTCTTCAGCATCGGAGAACTGCAGCCGTGCGGCTTCTTCTCCGTCTCTGGTGGAACACTTCGGTGGCTTGTTAACGATAAATTAGGACTTCCGTCAATGGGGAAAGTATGCAAAGAGCTGTCGTCACTGGTCGGCGATATGAGGGGTGTCGTTGGGGTTGTGGGCCTGAAGAACACGTCCAAACCCTCACCGAGAGCCAGAGAATCCACCGGGAGTGGATCTGATCGCAACATCGGGCGCGTGGGGGCGCGTGTTTTCGCCCTCTTGGGGCGGGTCTTCACGAGGTGCTGGAGCTGCTGACCCGCCGTGTTCGGAAGCTCTGATATCGAATCCAAGGATTCTGTTAAGGAATGCTCGTTCTCCGACGTTCCCTCGGTTGTGTCTTTTGGAAGACTTGGCAGTAAGTTTGGAATGTCGTCCGCGGAGAGACCCTCCACGGAGTCTACTACCGATTTTGGACGCAGTTTTCGACCGTGGAGGCTCTTGCGCTTGTTTGACAAGTGCGGAGTTGCCTTGGACAAGGAGATTTCGAGATTATATTTCGCGATGTGAATTTTCCATGTTTTTTCCACTTCATTTTTCTTCGTTTTAAGTATTAATATTATTATTAATATCAACAATGTTATTAATAATATTTATAATTTTTTTTTTCATTTAAAAAGTCTACCGAAAAATTTGGAAAATTTGAAACCGATGAATTTCTATAGAAAATGGCGCAAGAATAAGTTGTCCAGGAAAATCGTATCTCATGGATTTTTTCTATAGAATATTTTCCACTTTCCATAGAATACCTAAAGTCCCAATAGAAAATCAACGGATTTTTCACACATTTTTCGACCCTAATAATTGCTACTTAACTTGCGTGAGAAGAATCTTGAAAATTACATGCATAATCAGTGTCATTCAAATAATATTTCGTGAAAAATGCCTTCATCAAACTTTTCCTTCTTACAAACAAATAATAAAAACTGTTAAACCTGTCGAAACTTTTTTTACACGAAATCAGTGTTTCATGAAATTTCGACATCAAACTAAACTTTAAAACTGAAAATGTGCTTCAACCTCTACAGAAAACCAACCGACAAATACAATCCCTCCAAACTCTTACTTACAAGATTCAAATACTCCAGCTTCTTCGTGTGTCGCAATACAGAACAATGAAAAAATATTAAATTCGTTCATCAATGGACTTAGCAAAACACTGCATAAACTCACCACTGGCGACTGATCGTCCTTCTCCCCCTGCGGCCCCAGAATCCCCGAGGGATACCCATCCTCCAAGGTGGTAGTGCTGGAAGCTCCATCCCCTCCCATAGTTCCGGAGTTGTCCGTAGTGGAAGAGGCATGCGAAACAACCGCATAAATGTGCTCCTCATTATTCCCCGACGTCCCAATACTCGGATTAATTCCAATAACACTTCCACTGCTGATGGAGCTAGCGCTTGGCCTGAGCACATCCGGTGTACTGCTCCTAGTCCTATCAGCGCTATCTCCAATGAGTGTCTTGTAGCTCCTGGACAGTGACTCAATGACCTCATCAGTCACCCTATCCGAGACATGAGCAGCGACCGCCAGATTCAGCTCATTAACTCTATTAACAATATCAGTCCCAGCTTGCTCAACAATACACGAGTTGATAAACTCATTACTAATTTGGTTCTTCTCCTTGCAAGCATTCCTGAGATCCTGATCGATAGATATCGGCTCGCTCTCATCGCCCCTGACAACCGTCTGCGACATAACCGTCGGACAATGATCATTAGCGCACTTGAGAATGGACTCCAACGAGTCCTCCAAGTACTCGCTAACAACCCTGTGCACATCATCCGCAATCTCCCTCAGCTTGTACTCAATAGGATTCTTCTCATCTCTCTTCTGCAGCACCTCGTGCAGCCTGGGCAGCAGCTGCTTCGAGTTATCGGCGTCCTGAATGAGTCCAGTCGCATAATTAATATCATTATTAGCATCACAACTCTCAGCCGCCAGCGTCTTAATAGTATCCTGAGTCTGCACCACCAGTCTATCCACAACTTGTTGAGTAGAACTCAGTAAGAAACCCTGCTGTAGCCTGAAGGCCTGGCCATGCGAGTACTTGCAGGGAGTGACATTCCTCTGCAGCATATCCTGCAGCTTCTTGGCCAGCTGTTCAGCCCGTTCAGCCGAGGTTTTCATGCAGGGTTGCAGATCGTAAATGGGGAATGGCATGTACCTAACCGAGTAGTTCTTCTCAAGAGCATGAACGATATCCGCATAACCCTGCAGAGTTATATTATTCTTATCATATACTATCGTCCTGAGGTGGTTATTGATCTGCAGGGCTTTGGCCAGAAGTCTAGCACCGGGATCGCCGATCTGATTACCACTGATGTCCAACGTATGAAGGCAAGTGTTGCTCCCCAAAGCATTGATCAAGCTGTACAGATCCCCCTTCAACCTTGAATCCGGTATGTGAAGGCTTTGCAAGACACAGTCGTCCTCCTGAATCATCTGCACAAGGCAGTCCATCACAACTGATATATGCTTACTCTTCATTCCCGCTGTGTTCCTCCCCATGTACAGATGCTTCAGCGATTTGTTCTTACCAATAGCCGTTATAACTTGCGCAAGATCAACGTCCATATTACTATCCGATATATCCAACGACGCGATACACCGCACACCATGAATGCAACTCTCGAGGACGTGTGCTCCCATAGATCCCAGATTATTGCCACTCATATCAAGCTCAAGACCAACTGTACTCTCGTTGCAAGCAAGACCGAGCAGCAGATGCTTGAGCGCCTCAAGTGGTAATTTACAATACGAAATGTTGAGATATTTGAGTGAAAGTGTTGCTGTGAAGAACTGTTTAAAACTAGGAGGTATCTCTTTGGTTTTCTTGCTTGTGAATGAGTTTCTAGCGACGTTCAAGTGGACTAGATTTGTAGCACAGCCACGTAATAATGCCCCAAATAGGCACTCGAGTGTTGTATCAGTGCCAGCAAGATCGAGATGAGTTAAGCTATTCGGCTGGGCAAGGTAGTTACACAGATTATTGATATCGTCTTTTATACTGTTCTCGGAGAGATTGAGGGAGCGCAAGCTTGTTGGCATGCTGCGGTTTAGACTGAGGGCGTGGGCTATTTGGGCGATGCCCTTTGATGTCAGACCGCAGCGAGACAGGTTCAGCTTTTGCATGCCTTTTGGTAGATTACCTATTGCACTGCCACCACTCAGGTGACTACCCTGGGTCAATTTGGCTATTATTCCGCAGAGACTGGTTGCACCCTTGTCCTCAATTATGTTGTTGGAGAGATCAATTGTGTGGAGAACTGTATTGCTGTTTGCTATTAAGGCTAGTGACAATTTATGCGCAAAGTCCCATTTTATTCCTAAGTTATCGAGATACATTTCTTGGATGGAGAGGGATCTTCTTACAACGTGGAGAAGTCTCTCTAGGCATTCGTGGGAGAGTTTCATGTGCGATGTACGGAATTTTGTGAACCACGTGTTGTACTCGAGGGCTGATATTATTGGCACCAGGTCCTTTTGCTCGAGATGATCGAAATCCCGGAGGTTTAGCTCGCGGGTGTCGTGGGAGAGGTAGATTGTGTCCACGTCCCAGGCTACCTCGTCGCGGTATTGGACGCTGTGGAGGTCACACATGCAGGCGTATTGCGTGGAGAAGCCACCGCATGGGCCTGTGGTTCGGGTGGCTTCTGTACTTCGGGCTAATTCTGAACCTCGGATACTTTGGAGTCTACTTGCTGGGATCACGTCGATCTTACGGATCACGTAGTTCAGGGGGACTGTGGGGAATATGTTGCGAATCGCTGTGTGGAGGGCTTCTATCATTGCGTCTATTTCGGTTGTATCGGTAGTTCCTAGGGTGCCTGTTGTTTGGAAATTGTAGGTGCGATCTCCCGCGGTTAGGCATAGCTGGTTTGGTCGACGCGATTCTATCGAGGTGATCTCTAGGTAGTGGAAGTGACAATCGATCTGGAATTGGGGAGGTCTCGCGTCAGATGGGGGAGAGCTTATTTCGGGAATTGAGATTTTTTGGCGTTTATGCGAGGGGAAGAAGTGGAAAATTGGATCCATCACAGCATGGTGAGAATATTTTTGGTAATAAAGTAACAATTTGGGCCATCAACATTGAAGCACATGTACACAGCTCCTGATAGAGATAATTTGATACTGTACGAAAGAAGTGTATTCTAGGCTGAAGGGTCTCGGGATATGGCCATTTGTAAGAATGTAGGTTTCTTGCAATGAATAACGTTAAAAGTTAAGTTAACAAGCAAACTACTTACACGTGTAGGAACTTTGGCAGTCAACAAAAACAGACGACATGGTGAAAATACCTGGAAACATAAATCGTCAAATGATATCTCAGGATTTGACAAGAACCCATTAAGGATGTTCTACACCCTTTCTGCCAAAATTGACCTTTTTTTCAATTTTTCTGGCAAACTTATGATGGAATTGACGTGAAAAAATATAACGTTTTTACGTTTTGTCATTATTTAATGACTGACGAAATTTTAAGGTGGTGCGAACATTTTCCTGCGTTTTCTCTAAACTTTTAAAAAGAATCACAAAACTGTAGAAAAAACGCATGAAAATTATCGCACCACTACGCAACTTCGTGAGCCATTAAAGAATGACAAACCACAAAATCGTTATATTTTTTCACGTTACTCCCATCGATAATTTGCCAGAAAAATGAAAACAACGTCAATTTTGGCTAAAAGGGTGTCGAACATCCTTAATCTTCAGAGAATATTCCCAAACTCACCAGAACCCTATTTTCCTGCTTGTCGGGCTTGGTCTCAAGTTTGACGACGTTTTTGAGTAAAATCTTGACGTGTTTTCCGAGAAGAGCCTTCACAGATTCTACGCAGAAAATCCACGAGATAAATCACCCAAAAATACCCCAATTAATCACGTAATTACCAGAGCTGAGCGAAGTATTATTTGGAATACTATTTCAAATAAGTTCCCGGGAATTTTACAAAGATTTTATTATTCAAATTTTGTAGGTCTGAATTCGAATGTCGATAGTGAAGCGCTAGAAAGCATTCTAAAAATCTGATGAAAAGTTAGAGAGCTTAGTTGTGGAAGAAGATTGATGAAAGAATTAAAAAATTGCAATTTTTGCAAATTACCAACGTTTTATACAAATAATTTATAAACAATCAATTTTCGACCATAAAAGTCATTTTTTCGGAATCGTGACAAATTCATTCATATTCACAATTCGACTAGAAATCAAAATTTTAAAAATTTCAGTTTCACGACTGATCTGATATTCACGACCGAATGGCTAAAAGCACTCTGAGACGGATTCCTAAAATTGTTTAGCTGTGAAATAAATTTACTCCGGACATAAATTTATTATGACGATTTGTTTGGCTAACAGGGCTTCGCAGATGAAAAAGTTTAATAGAAAAACCTAGCCAATTCACTAGACAATTCTACTGGATTTCTATTAATTTTTGGCCGATTCTATTGAAATGTTCACTAGAAAATATTCTATCGAAAAAGTGCAAGGAAGTCGATTTTTCTACACACCTTATTCTATTGACATATTTTCTACAGAATTCCCTCGGCTCAAATCTCTCCCGTTTTGTGTGATTTTCTTGACTAAAAGAAAAATAGAGTACAAAAAATTTTAAAAATTTGAGACGAGGAAATTTGACAGAAAATATCTGAGCAGAATAAGTTAAATATAAAAATCGAATTCTATTATTTTTTTCTATTGAATATTTTCTATTGTTTCCTGCCTAAAACTAATAGAAAGTTCAATAGAAATCCAATAGACTTTTCCAACCAGTTCGTTAGGTCTTTCTATTAAATTGTTTCGTCCGTGTTGGTGCAACCGGCCCGTAACTGAATAGTGAGATAAATCGGTAACTACTATTTTATTCGTCATTACATTAGAATGAATATCAACTGAAATACCCATTTTATTTCAATTTCAGACAGACAAATAAATACAATTTGATCAACCAAAACCTCACCTTGAAATATCTACTTCAAATAGTATTTCTATGTGAAAACTATTTGCAATAGTATCTACATCTGATTTTCACGAAATAGTCCCCAGCTCGGGTAATAACTCAACAATTAAAATGCAAATAGATACCATTTAAATCCTTGGTGAGTTGAGACCTAGTTGACATGATTGCTCTTCAGTAATCCAATCACCAAATTACGAAAAATACCGAAAAATAAATCACGACATTTCTTCCTCGCTTAAACCAGCACGAGGGTGACACTTGACGTTGGAATGCCACAGAATACAAAAAAACTAATGAAAAACTCCGGGGTAACTTGAGTTTGGGGTACGTCAGCCATGTTGTAATTACAATGCACACACATACACTTGCCCTTGAATCGGCTGACGGTGAATTGGAGGAAATGACTGCACTTGTGAGTCGAGATGACGAATCAATTGCGTATTGGGTGTCTGTAGTTATTACACGTTACACCAAGAGTCACTGATGCCGGATAAATTATTATTCAATTCATTCCAATGCCGACGGCGGCCGATTCACGACAATGCGACGACGACTCATCGACCCCGATTATATATGTATATACACATCTGCGTGATGCGTCGCTCGCATCGCTTTTTTGAGCACACGCATGCGCCGAATTCCAGTTGTTGGCTCGGCACTTTGGCAGGTGCGTCTTTGTTTACTTCACTGTTGAAACTGTGGGAAGGTGGGAAGCATCAAAACTCAGGTTCGATTGTTTATTTTCGTCCTTTTGGTTGACGAGCACTTTTTTTCGTCGTTTGGTCGGAGTTCAGTATTAACGTGAAGGTCGATGGGAAAACCCCTCACGAACAGGATGATTGGGGATTGTTGAAGGGCATTCTAACGGGGTTATCACCAGGGTTGGGCACATCTCCATAACCGCAGTTTTTTTTATGACATTGTAATAAACCCGTAATTTACGGAATTAATGTGAAGAATGTAAACAACCAGCCGACGTTATTTTTTATAGTACACTGTTGGAAATATTTTGAAATTTCGGGGAAGATATTATGGTAGATCTCATGAGAGTGACGGTGAATTGGATTTAGGGGGAAACTGGTTATGAAGTTTCAAGTTTTAAGAAGAATTTAGGGAAATTCATAAGTTTTCAGTTGGAGTGAGATGGAAATTTTACAACTCGATTGTATTTACAGTGGAACATGAATATTCAGAAACGAAATGTTATGAATTTTCAATTTTGCCCTCAATTGTCTTGATTTTTATGAATTTTCACGGAATAATTGAACTGAGAAATCAAGTATGATCATTTGAATAGAAAAGCAATGGAATATTTGATTTTTTACTGACAAGATTTACTGAAATTTCAGTGGAACTTGAACACGATAAAAGTTTCCAGAATTTGGCACGGAAAATTCAGACGAAAATTTTTAACAGTATAGCTTTTATCGTAAACCGTGAAGATTGTAGGGGAGGGTGGGGTAAAACGGACACTTGAGACTTTTTTAAAATTATTCATAACTTAGAAACAAATTGATCAGTTGAGCTCAGTTTAGGCTCGTTATAAAGTTAAAGAATTGTTCTTTGTATTGAAAAAAAAAATTATTAAAGTTTATCAACATTTCAACCCCTCATTAACATTTTAAAAAAAGTCAAAAGTGTCCGTTTTACCCCAACCTCCCCTACTTTCCGAGGGTGATAAAAGTTACAAGCTTCATACCTCGCCAGGATCACATCTCGTAAGGGTCAATCCCGTATGAGGACTGAATTTGACAAGGGTCAACCTCATTATTTATTGAGTTTTTTTTCTTACACGCTCTACGGTAACTTGTAGCGCTGATAGAGGACGTTTTCCGTGGATTTACGGCAATTTCTACCGTGGATACAAGGTAGATGGATAAGTGCATTGGAACATTTTTACCGTGAAAATACCTCTTTTCTCTTGCAACGTTTGACCCTCTTGAAATTTACCCTTTATAAGGTATTTCTTAAAATGCCGGAAATCGTACCACGTGATGTAGCAGTACATCAATGTCCCCAGGCGATGAAAGAATTTTCTGACTAATGTGGCTTTATATTTTAATCACGTGAGTCAGAAAATTGTTTGATCGCCGTATGTCATATAATATTTTATGTCCGGAAACCGCGATTTTCCTGAGGGAATCGAGTTAGAATCGCAGTTTTACGATTCTAAAGGCATAAAATAATATTTTATGCCCCTAGAACTGAGAAATACCGAGAATCGCGATCCAACCGAACAGAGTGAAGTTAAAATTCGCGGTTTATCTGTACGCGGGACAGAATGTACTATTGTTTATAATATTTGTGTGTTCAATACTGCGTCTTCGTCAGTCGGAATAAAATAAAACATTCCAGTAACCGCAAAATTACTAGCTTTTCGAAGTAATGTAAAAATAGTATATTTCGTAACGAGCTAAAAAACATTTTTTCACGAGTTACGAACAATATTTTTCATCACAATGTGACGGAAATTGGACTTTTAGGCACGCGGAGCGTGCGGAAAAGTTCACTTTTCGTCACAGCGTGATGAAAATGTAAAAAACCCGTCGAGATAATTTACACGACATTTCTATTAGAGTTCTATTCGAATTGCGTCGATTCGAATAGATTTTATATTAAATATTCGATGCAAGTTTTTAATAAAAGTTTCAGAGAAAAAAATATTCTCCAGTAGAATTTGGAAAGTTAAAGTGGAAAAATGAAACTCCCCTGCAGTTTTTGATCCTCAGACTTCCGAAAAGATGAACTGCATTCAATTAGAATTTCTGAGTTTTCTTTGAATTAATAAATTCATTCAATTGTTTATTTAGCTTTTGTGAAATTCTCCAATACCAACGGTTTTTTATCTCAACAATATAATCATATCAATTTTTTTAAGTGCGATTTTTATCGATTCAAGTAATCGATTCTAGTTGTTCTTATGATAGAAAAAACGACCTTTGGTCAGAAAGTTGCATGCAAATCATTTCAGTAATAAAGTTATAACGTATCGCTAATTTATGAAGTTTTTATCCATTTCCGTTTGTAGATACGATCGCAAGTGCGTATTTGGTGGGGTTCGAATATACGCAAACGGTCTCTCCCTGGCAATACGCTCTAAATAATTTCTTTTTCTTCTGATCGATCTGGTTATATCCTCTAACGGGTGAAGCAGCAAGTACCATTCAGTGATAAGTTCGAGGAATCTTTCGAAGCTTGCGGGTGTGTGACGTGTCCTATAAAAATTGGAATTTGTTGATATCACGGATTTTTGTATGTCGAACAACGTTCTTCAACGCCTCTAATGAGGCCTCTAATTGCTTAGATGAAACCCTCACTTGAAATTTTTTAACCGTTAAATATTTCATTCCAAGGCGATGACTGTGATTTAATTATCTTTTAATCGTCAAATCGCTAAAGACCGCGGAGACCAATACACAATCGTCAACTCAAAATGAGATATGAAACCTTCGAACCGAAATTTTTTTCAAATTTGTATTTGCATTTTTGACAATTTACTTTAATATTCTTGAAATAGGTGGTGAAACTATTCTGAGGACCTTTCGTTAGTGAACGATCAGAATTGCATAAAACGAAATCAACAAAAGTTTCCTTTTCTTGGAAAATCGACGAGGTTGAATCGAGACTACTCTGAATGTTTGAAATTTAATGATTTTTCTTTGAAAACTCATTTCTTTTCAGCAAATTTTTATTCTTATTTTTTTTCCAATGTTCGTTTTTTCCTCCGTAATTTTTTTTATCTGATATTTGTTTTTCTTTCACCGAATTTTTACTTTTTTTCTTTTGATGTTTGGTCTTCCTTCCGTGAGAACTTGACCCAATTCCTCACTCTTATATTGTTTCCTTCAAGGTGTTTTTTTCTACTGATAGACAATGAATATTCCTTCTGTACGTAAAGCAATACGACTGGCGGATTGGAGGATATTGTCACGACTATATTCATCGAATAGCAAATTTTTGGATGTCACCCAGAATGAGAAGACAGGTAAGGAACATCATTCTTATTTCACTATCCTGCGCTGAGAAAAAACGAACAAGTTTTCAAACAAGTTCTTTGGAGCAAAAAAATCGTCTGTTAAAAATTACTAAAAAAGAAATTGTTTAATTTGAAATTGCAAGTCTCGAACATGAATGATCATTCTGCTTTCAACAACAATTCAATGTTCGGCTCAAGAGGTGGATTATTTACACGAGACGGTGCCTTTTCGAGATGAAAATATCTCTCATAGAGAGAAATTGATTGCTATCATATTATTATTATTTTTTTTATGAGCTGATTTATTATTTATGATCATTAAAAAGCCAAAACGAAAAGTTACTGTCCCTTGTTTTACATAAAACGAACATTTTTCGGATGCAAAATACGTTTGAGAGCATCAAATAACAATAAACAACAAGGAATTAATTTTTTTTGTAATTACTAAATCTATTTTTGCGACAAAAATTTTCCTGTCACGACAGCTCAAATGGTCAGCACTAGATTTTTTTTTTATAATTTTCAACTTGCGATTCTTTTGGTTTAAACAAGACTTTTTTTGTAATAAAATCCCTTCATTTAGAGTTTATTACATTTAACAAATTGATTACATTTAGTTTCGTTTTCTTTTCCTTACTTTCTATTCATCTTACATTTTTTCCAAATAAGACTTGTTCGAGAAAATATTTTGTTTTCACTCAGCCTTGTCATCGTCTCTTCACTTGCGACGATAAAACAACGTAATTCATGAAAAATTCCAGTTGCTTTATTCTTTTCCTGAATAGGTGTGAGTACTATATCGCTGAACCGAGCGCCAGTGAATAGTTTGAACTTGGACATATTGAGAGAGTTGAAAGAGTCATTAGAAAAACTCAAGAAAGATGGGAGCAAAGGGCTCATTCTCACATCATCACTGCCAACAGTGTTCTCTGGTGGTCTTGACATCATGGAGATGTACAAGCCGGATATTAAGAGATGTACCGAATTCTGGAACACCTTGCAAGACACCTGGATCCTGTTGAATGAATTAGAAATCCCCACAGTGGCTGCAATTAATGTAATAAGATGCTATTCATGAGGGATTGATTTTCATTTCTGAATGATTCATTTGGCTTTTTGATCTTTTGAAATTTTCTCTTCACGTCACTCGGTCTCGAGAGAAATGGAGGGAAATAACAGTGGAATGTTTTTCTTTAAGGGTGCAAGTCCTGCTGGAGGCTGTCTTCTAGCCATAAGCTGTGAATACCGAATTTTCGTTGATGGTAAACACACAATCGGTTTGAATGAAACGAAACTTGGAATTGTAGCACCGTTTTGGTTCCAAGAGCCTTACATCAAAACAATCGGGCAGAGAAGAGCAGAATTAGCTCTGTTGAGGTAAGAATTGATTGACTATACATTTTTGGAAAAAAATGACATTTCATGGAGAGTTGGATGGTAATTTTTAAGAGAGAGCGACATTGATTTTAATTTAGGGGCAAAAATAATTAAATTTAAAATTTCATTGAAAATTTTTGTAGTAATTTCAGTGAAAAGTTTAGTAGTAATTTTTAGGAGAGAGACGTTGAATTTCATTTTGGGCAAAAAATAAAATTCTCAATGAAATTCCACTTTTGAGCAGCAGGAAGACGAGAATTCCTCAACTCACTTGAATTTTCAATCCAAACATAAATGTTCAGTACCAAATTTCGCTTTTCTATTAATTGAAAATTCAAGAATATATTTATTTGAATTGTTCCGGTTTTTTTAATCATTTTCATGAAATAATTGAACTAAAATTTAGTTTCCATTAATTTTTGCGATAAAAATGGAATTTTTCCCTTACAGAATTCTTTAAAATTTCAGTGGAACTGCCTCTTAATAATATTTTCAACAGTGTAATTTCACCTTAATTCGACGAATTACAACACGCATGAAAAAAAATAGAAAAACCCAGTGGATTTTTGAAAAAATCTGCCAAATTTTTTCCTAGCAAATTCGCTTAGAATTCTATTGAGATTCAATTGGAAATTATTAATTTTTTGTGCTGATCTTTAGTAAAAAGGATGTAACTTCGTCATGCGTTCTTCAATACATATTTTTTTATCACAATTAAAAATCCTGCAGATGTAAAAAATTTTTTTTTTCTTTGTGGACTTGAGCCGGAATCACCCATGTTTTGGATTTGATTTCTCATTTCATCACTAATCTATTCGTTTTTTCCATTCTGGGATGCAGAGGAGACCTATTCACTCCTCAGCAAGCGCTGGAAATTGGTCTCGTCGACGAATTAGCGAGCAGCAAAGAAGATGCCCTGGCGAAGGCTGAGAAGTACATAGAATCTTATCGTCAAATTTCTCCCAGAGCTAGAGCCATGACCAAGAAATCTCTCCGCGAGTCCATGATTCAAAATTTGGTGAAAAATCGCGAAACGGATACTGTTGTGTTTATCAGCGCAATTACAAACCCGGGAATTCAGACTAGTCTAGGATTATACATTGAATCCCTCAAGAAGAAGGCTAAATAGTGGATTATTTAGTAATTGTTGATGATGGATAATCAATGCAATAACTTTGTGCTTCCAATCATGAAATATTCTTCATTTAATATGAGGGTCGGTTACAGCCTTGTTATACTTCGTACATTTTTCAAATCATTGTTGAATAAAATATCGAATTTGTAATTATTGTGTTTTTATTTTCTCTGAACAAGAAAATTATGAAGAAACTGGTTTCATAGTTGTTTTTAATCCAACTGGATTTTTATGAGACATTTTCCATAGAATGTCATCGGCTCAAATTTTCAAAGTTTTTTGTTTGATTTTCTTGATGAAGAGAAATAGACAAAAATGAAAAAAACCTGGAAAATTTGAACCGAGGGAATTCTATAGAAAATATCTCAATAGAATAAGTATAGAAAAATCGAATTCTATAAACTTTTTCTAAAAAAAAAAATTTCTACTGAACATTTCAATAGAATCGGCCAAAAACTAATAGAAAGTTCAATAGAAATCCAATAGAATTCTATTCTATTGCCGAGCGAATTCTGGGTTTATGCATTGAATCCCGCAAAAAGAAGACAAAATAATTATATTTACACCTTTCTTATACTTCGTACACTCACCAAAGTATACTTCAATAAAAAATCGAATTTACAATTACTGTGTATTCTGAAGAAATTACCCCATTTATTATTTACTCGGAAGAAACTATTCATCGAGTGCAGCTGCGACATCCGCTTCAATACTTTTATCAATATTTATGTTCAAAACCTGGAAGACACCTTCTAATGATTCCCTTTGGAACTGAAGAAAGTGAGAAATCTCCAAAATCCTAGAGCGATGTCGACTGTTCTCATGTCTCAAACAAACAAAGATTAATTCCATTAATTTCGTCCGATCATTATCCTGTACTTTTTACAAAAACCTGAACTTACGACTCAATTTGATCGATCAAATCACGAAGCCACGATTCTGCGCGCTGGATCATCGTTGTTTCCCTCGAATCAATGAGGTACTCGCGAAGTTCATGAGAAGCCGTTAAACTATCGTTCAAAGTTTCTGAATTCTCGAGGAGTTCTTTCACATCCTCGGCGACCGTCTCCCCGTCCAAACTGATACCCGTAGTGTACGAATTGATGATCCTATCGACATCCTCGCGATAATCCTCTTTAGCCCTTCGCATTTGCGAGAATCGTTCCTTCACGAAGTCAACGAAGTCTCCAATTGCCCCAGACATGTTGTTCGTGAAGGATTCTAGGACATCTCCCATCTGCTCGTGGAGCACTACTTCATTGTACATTAATTTCGTCCATTTTGACGACAAGAATCTGTTGAATTCCTCCGTTGTTTTCTGGGCTTCTCTCAGCTCAATACTCAGCATGGAATCCTCCTGGTCTGACACTTTCCCGGGGGTTCCGTTATCAGGATGATTGTCTGAGTTATCGCTTGCTTTCTTTCTCAAATCATCTAAAATTTGGTTTCTGCGATTTTCTATCTCGTTCATTAATCTGGAATCCGGTTGTTACAAACGAAAAAAAATCGTAGAAAAATCTAGGGAATTCGTTAGAAAATTCTATCGGATTTGTATGGAATATTCTTTTAGTTTTTCGGGGATTCTATTGAAAAATTCCGCATCTTGACTGCGCGTTTTTTATAGAGAATTTGAGTCGAGGAATTCCTATAGTAAATATCTCAACCGGCGACGGTGGCCGAAGCGGTTAAATCGCTCGGCCGGACAGTGGGACCCGTGAGGCGCGGGTTCGAGAGTCCGGCTTTGGGGCAATTGCGATTTTTAATCTTTCGGAAACCGTCGAACGGAAGTCTAGACACCAAGAATCATCGGAGAAGTGTTAGGAAAACATTCTCCGATGAAGCTCGGTCGATGGACGTCCGTGTCGACCAAGGTTTTCCATGGTTTCCCCTGGTCCCCAGGAGAGTTTATACGTGGGGTACAGCTCCCTGGGGTTACAATGCGACACGGTTGGAGAGGAAGTCGGTCCATGAAACCGCAAAACATGTAAAAACCCGAATAGGGTATAATATATGGCAATAAATAGAAAAATAGTAAATATCTCAACAATAGCATAAGCTGTTGCAATATTTACAATTTTATTAAAAACTTCCTCTACTGAAAATTTTTTAGTGAAAAAAAGACGCGTAGAAAAAGTGGGGAATTTTTAAATGGTATCGACAAATCTAATATAATTTTCCAGCCAATTCGCTACGTTTTTCAATACGATTTTTTCGCGCGTAATTGCATGAGATTTGCCGAATAAAATGATAAAATTGCATGAAAAATGTAATTATGTGAAAAGAAATTCACCTTCTAGCAGTGATTTTCACCAAATTCTGTTCATCCTCGACCGTTTTTTTAAACATAGCGAGTTCCTTCGCCCTCTCAACTTGTTTACTATTCCCGAATTCGTAGATTTCACGAGATATTTCGTTGATTTTTGTTCTATACTTTTCGTAAACACCCTCGGTGATCATATTTATTTTCTTGAACATCGTATTCTCTGAAATATTGAGAGTTTCAAAGCTTCGATAATGAAAAAAAATGAAAAAAGTGAGAGCTGCAAGGTCGCATGTACCTTCGTCCCTTTCGAATAACGAATTGAAGAATTCCCCGTCGTCCAGATTCTCAACGAAAGCTGCGAAATCCTTCACTTTCTTCTCTTCTATCGCTTTAGTTTTGCTCTCGGAACGCTGAAGATTTGTTTCGCTCTCTTCAGTTTTTGCGATGGAAAGTCTATGTGGAACAATGATACCCATCAATTGAATGCGATCGATGCAATTGAATGCGGATTGATTTCAATATGATTTATGAGAAACCACGAAAAATACAATATAAAAAGTTTAAAAATGTACTCCAAGGAATTTTAATAGAAATCAAATAGGATTTCGTAGTGATTGAGTTAGGATTTTCTATTGATTTCGTTTTGTCGTGACACTTCCGAATGAAGAAGGAAAAGGCAGAAAGAAAATAGAAAAACGAAATTAAAACAAATATCAATTTAGTTACGCGCCTTCTTTAGCCATGAAAATGATTAGATCAGATGCGTAAGATATTACCGGTGAATTTCCCGAGATTTATCCTTCTGCTCTTCAGTGACCATTCGATACGAGAAATAGACCAATTGAGGGATAAATGCGATAACGTAATCTGTAAAACCGTCTTGATGCATGCAGGGATTCCCCTGAATATTCAAACTACGTAGTTGCTTAAATTTCCTCAAGTACATTACCTAAAAAAATAATATCAATAAAATATAAAAGAAGAGAAAAAAATGGAAAAACGACAATAATTAATAAAAGATTGATAATATAAAATTGTTAATTTTAAAATTGACAATTTTATATTATTAAATAAATTGATAGTATAAAATTGTTTACATGATCCCAACTGTCGATTTTATTATTCGCCAAACTGAGAATCTTCAAATTGTGGAGATCATCGATGCCCTCGACCCTCTGAATATCATTCCCAGATAAAATCAGTATTTCGAGATTAAGTAAATGCCCCAGCCCTTCCATAACACTGATCCTGTTGAACGAGAGATCTAATTCTCGCAGCTCGACGAGATCCTCCAATTTTTCAATTCTCTCAATACAGTTGTGGGATAATGTGAGCTTTCTGATGCTCTTCATCGGCCACAAGTGCTCTAGACTGATAATATCTGAAGCCCAACAAAATTATCATCAAGGGACTGCAATTCCCCGCAGTTGACTCGGTTGTCTCGCACGAAAAAATTTAATAGAAAAACTAAGTGAATTCGCTAGATAATTCTATTGCAATTCTATTGGATTTCTGTTGAATTTTTCACTAGTTTTTGACCGATTCTATTAAAATGTTCAATAGAAAATATTCTATAGAAAAATTCAATAGAATTCCGTTTTTCTATTACTTATTCTATTGAGATATTTTCTATAGAATTCCTTTGGCTCAAATTTTCTGAGTTTTTTTCATTCTATTTGTCTGTTCACTTCATCAAGAAAATCAAATTTAAAAAAATTGGAACATTGGAGGCGAGAAAATTCTATAGAAAACGTCTCAATAGCATAAATTATCTAGAAAACTTGAATTCAATAGACTTTTTCTACAGAATATTTTATATTGAACATTCAATAGAATTGGTCGAAAACTAATAGAAAGTTTAATAGAAATGCAATAGAATTGTTTAGCGACTTCGTTAGGTTTTTCTATTAAATTTCTCCATACGTGTACCTACTCAAAAATTCAATCCTCAATTCTTTGACTTCCTCCAATTTAACCCCGTCCTCACGAAATAGTCTTCCAGCCTCGCCTTTCGGTGCCTGCTGAATCGCCAAATCCTCGAGCATTTTATAAGTAATGATTCCATATTTTGAACTTTCGTTTTTCTGCTCTTCCTCCATTGCAAGTCAAAATTTGTTTTATTAATTGTTAATCAATTAATTAATTGTTTTATTAATTGTGTGAACGCAAGTCAGAATTGTTCATCGTAAGTTTTCGGGAATGAAGCGGTAACTAGGCAACTGAGGGGGTAACACCTGCGAAACTCTAAATATTCTGATCCCGCGTGAAGAGAAGGAGTTTTTGTAATAATTATGAACAGGTGGATTCGAGATGATTTTAAAGAAAATTGCACTCCGGATTTCCACGATTTTTTTAAAATTTCCTAGAGTTTTATCAGTATTTTATAAGTCTTTTTAAGAAACTTCTGACATTTGCTAAAAGCTTTATAAGACTTTTCAAATGACATATGAAAAAAATTGTCTAAAAAAATTCTAGTAAATTCTTATTGAGACTCTTTAACAATTCTATTTAAGTCCTATGCGAATCCTACTAGTTTTTCGCACCGATTCCTAGTGAAAATGCATAATTCACTAGGAATCGATAGAAAAAAATCGATAAAAATGGATTTTTCTATAAATTTTTACGCGGAATAAACATTGCCCTGATGAAGAGCTCCTTGAGAGTTCGAAACGTTGGAAGAGTCAAACAAAATTGATTTCATCAATGTAAATTTTTCTATTCATACCGTTAATTGGACCGTTTTTGGCCGGGAAAAGTCAAGGAAAAGACAAGATCAAGTACAGTTGTAAATTTATTTTGAAAAAACCTATATATAACTCATTCTGTCGTTTTTTTTGCACAAGAAAAAGCGAAAGAAAATAAAGCATAAATAAAACGTATAAAATTCACCCCCAAAAAACAAAAGTATAAACTTTTTTCCATCAAATATTTAGTGAAAAATCTTACTGCAAACTTGTGTTATTGTTCAATGCAATGCAATAACATTCTCTCATTAAATTCAGTACTGACAATCTGGATGTTGTGACATGTCATCTTTCCAAATGAAATGAATAAATCAATAAACACACTCCATGTAAAATATTCCAGTTACTTTATTTTTCAGCTCATCTGCCAGTGAACATGTAATTGCAACATTAATCAATTTTATAATCTGTTTTCTCATGTCTGTCTCTAGATCGCATTGTGCAGTATATTTCGACTCAAAAGTTATCAATAAACTGAAAAAAAAAGTTCATTACTATTTCTCATTACTCCCCAATTTTAATAACTTGTTATCTAACGACGAGAGATCTTTTTCAGCTGTCTAATATAATTTGCGTAATATAGATAAACTTCAGTTAGCCTCTCCATTCGTTACCCAGTCCCTCCCTTCATACAAATCTTCGACATAAAAATCGCTTTCCAATCAATTTCAAATTCTCAATGCTTCACAACTTAGCTTATAGTTCTGAGGTTCCTTTCGATCACTATTATAATTTCTTTTATTAGTTCTTTAGATGATTAGGTTTTCAATAGTTATATCTCTTCAGCCATCGACTCAATTTTTTACTTAATTTTCTACGGCGATGATATAGTTTAATCTTGTAATATGCACACAAAGGAAAGAATAATTAACTAATTTCTGATTTATCTCCATCTCACTCGGAATTGTGTGCATTTGAAGAATTTTTATGGGTGTTCACTGCGGCACGTCTACCCTGATTTAAACACTATCATCTGGAAGTCAAGAAGAGAAATGTTAGTGTTTGAATGCAATAAAGGGACAGCATTTCCATGGGCTATTCATTCGTTATTTACAAACGAAAATGAAGAAAAAATAAGAGACGACTCGTTTGACAACTGAAAAAACTCTTCTGTTCTCTCATTTCCAAGATTATAACAGTTTTTGGGAGTATTCCATAGTATTTCAATATTCAGTATATTTTATAGTGTTTTACACTGTTGAATTTCCTTGCAGATGTTTCAAAAAAAAGGTAATTACAAAATTATTAATTAAATTCATTATTAATTATTGATTAAATTAATTTCTTTAAAAAATATATATATATATATATATATATATATATATATATATATATATATATATATATATATA